GCAAGTTTAATATTATTTTAAAAACAGAATGGAGGAAGCACGAACCAAGTCTTCTCTCCAAGGAATCACTCGATCAACGAGCACAGGAAACAAGCTCTAGCCTCAACCTGAAATGGTGGTGGGACGCCCCCGAAGGGGTCAGTACTCTATACGGCTATAAAGTACTGGTGTGGCAGGCATCTAATAGATATACAACAAGTATTTCAAACACAAGACCCTCAAGTAGGGTGATAGTACATTATGATTGTAACCCTAAGTTACCCCGTTTAAAAATATACTTACTTTATATAAAAGTCAAGTAGTCGGCCCGTGGGCCCGTTTTCATTTGGAAATCACCATTCCCAACCCCGTGGCTATAAGCCACGACAACTCCTAGAGTCCAACCCTAGTACATGACATTGTATTCTAGAGCTCGGCTCTACCACATCACCATACAATTCATATACCTCGGGTCAATTTCCTTACCTTGCGTTCTAGAGCTCGGCTCTACCACATCACCACGCAAGTCCTAGAGCTCGGCTCTAGCTATACAATACATAGACTCCAAGTCTACCCTTACATGCATTCTAGAGCTCGGCTCTATCACATCACCATGCATTAAGGTCCAATTCTCAAGCAATCCCTATGCCTAGAATTGACATATCATTAAACTACCATGGGTCATCCTTAAGGACTTCCCATAACTTAACCTTAGTTCCATACTAAGTTATTATATACACTTGAACTATATTCAAGCACCTTTCATACAATCCAATCCCTAGGATCAATTTAATCAACAAGTCCCAATAATCACTAACTAGTATTTCAATACTATTAAGATTATTGTTATCATACCATTATCCTCATTATTTGTAATTCTCTACATATTTATAATTATGTAGCAGCAACTTAAGTATTTAATCTCAATACACAAATATTCATTTATGTATCCACATAATTCATACATGAGTAAAATACCCATTTTCACAAAATGGTTCTTTTATACTCATTTAATCTCATATTATTCATACCTTCTCAAATCATTTCAAATTTCATTCTTTGGCAACTATATCAATATTTCATCAATATATAATCATCATAATCCATGAAAAATCATGATTTAAGCATTTAGGTAATCTCATGCTTAACCTACAAGTTGTAAGCAATTAGATGTCAATCCTCACCTCAATTGAGCTTTAAACTTTCCCTTCTTGGTCCAATGGTCAAATCTTTGGTCAAGGTGGATTTGGGACTGATTCCTTGCTCAAATATGAGTGTTAAACAGCCTCCTCAAAGTGCTAGTTCAACCCTTAATCGTTGATATGAAAACAGCCCCTAGAACGGGTGTTTTCCGGCTAACTCGATTCCTAGTTTTCCAATATTTGCATCTAGGTTAGTATCTAACCTTTACATCAATAAGATAACTTTTTAGGGACATATTATACACTTGGATTAGTGTATAATAGTCTCACCAATCGTTCATATCATTTGGAGAATGAAAAGTAAAGCTTTGGGGTTAAAACTCACTTTAGAAGATTAAATCCTCTCCTGCGAGGTTGTGTTTTGCTCGGACGATTTGGAAGCCTTCCACAACTCCGATTCCTGCAAACCAGACCTTCACGGATTCCTCGTCTTGAGAGCTTTCTGTGGGTATCTCACACGCCTTAATTGGACTTGTAAAACTCGAGATATCGACCAAACAGTCTCAGCACTCTCACAGCTCGAGTTCACAGACCTTTGCTCGTTCCAGCTCGATTTTTGCAAGATAATCCTTCTCTCCTCGAACAAAGACCACTCAATTGAGATAATAGACTTCAAAGGCTATCCAAGGACACCTCATACACGTTATTTGGTTGAGGATAGCTCCTATAATGAGAGGAGACAAACAGCACACCAATTTGTGCGAAAATAAGAGTGGTGGCCCCAAACTTTGATTCTTATCAAGTCATGTGCAGCTCTTCTCCATAATGGCCGGCCAAGGTAAGTCTCCTAACCCATTTTTATTTGTTTTGCAGGTACTAATACCATGTGGAGTGGTTCCCAATTGATCCCATTAAATTTGGGGTCCAAAATATCTACCAATACTTCCAAAAATGGGAAGATGGGTCCTATTGTTTTATCTTTGTCAAAGATGTCTTTTTGTACTCATCCTAATTTATTTAGAACAAGTCAACTTCCTAAATCACATTATTGATCTCCAATATGTGTAGGCTCATCCCAATAATTTACACGATGAAAATTACCAAAGAATGCGGGTTTGAACAATACAATATTCAATCATGTACTTCGTAAAATATTAATCGTTTCTCCCATTGTTTTGCAATTGGAAATTCGATACATCACTTTTGAATTTTAAATCGAATTTTCAAGGACGTTCGGGTGCGGTGTCACAAGTTCACCCCCCCTTAACAGGAATTTCGTCCCCGAAATTCACAGCTCTACTCGAATAGGAAAGCATACTGCTTCCTCATCAAAGCCTCCGTTTCCCATGTCTCTTCCTCGACCCGATCGCTCTTCCACAGGACTTTAACCATTGGGACTTCTTTGCTCCTCAGCTTCTTCACCTTTCTATCGGTGACTTTGATAGGTTGAACAGCGTAGTTCAAATCCTCACGTACCTCTACAGGTGGCTTCTCTAGTACGTGAGAGGGATCATGCACATACTTCTTAAGCATGGATACATGAAACACATTATGTATCTTCTCTAACTCAGGAGTCAACTGTAGACGATATGCAACGGCCCCAATCCTCTCTATAATTCTGAATGGACCTATATATCGTGGGTTAAGTTTTCCTCGGGTTTGGAACCGAATGATCCCTTTCCAAGGAGAAACTTTCAAGAATACCTCGTCATCAACCTTAAACTCTAAGGTTCTTCGACGCTTATCTGCATAACTCTTTTGTCTATCCTGAGCCGCCTTGAGTCTCTCTCGAATCAACTTCACCTTTGATTTGGTGACCTCAACCAACTCAGTACCCTCGAGTTTGGCCATGCCAACCTCGTCCCAGCATAACGGTGTACGGCACCTCCTCCCATACAATGCCTCGTATGGAGGCATGCCGATGCTTGCCTGATAACTGTTGTTATAGGCAAACTCCACAAGTGCTAAGTGGTTGTCCCAACTTCCCTGGAACTCCAATGCACAAGCCCTCAGCATGTCTTCTAGGATCTGAATAACCCTTTCAGACTGCCCATCCGTCTGTGGATGGAAAGCAGTGCTGAACTTCAACTTCGTTCCCATAGACTCCTGGAATTTCGGCCAAAAACGTGATGTGAATCGTGGGTCTCTATCAGATACAATGGTCACCGGGACCCCATGCAGCCTCACGATCTCATCCGTATACAATTTGGCTAACCTCTCAAGTGGGTAGGTAGTGTTGATAGGCAAGAAGTGTGCACTCTTTGTGAGCCTATCCACAACGACCCAAACCGCGTCATAGTTCCTGATAGTCCGTGGTAAGCCTACCACGAAATCCATAGTCACGTGCTCCCACTTCCATTCAGGGATGGAGAGTGGTTGCAATAAGCCTGCTGGGTGCTGATGTTCTGCCTTAACTTGTTGACAAGTAAGGCACCGACTGATGTACTCGGCTATTTCCCTCTTCATTCCAGACCACCAGTAACTTTCCTTCAAATCACGGTACATTTTCGTGCCCCCCGGGTGCATGGCATAAGCCGATGAATGAGCCTCCTCTAAGATGGACTTTCGGAGCTCATCATCTGACGGTACACACACTCGGTCACGAAATAACAAGAGACCATCATCTCTTTCCCTGAAATCCTCCACCGGCCCCGCTTGCATGCGTTCCCGGACCTTCATAAGTTCTTCGTCGGCTTCCTGACCCTTCTTGATCTCATCAAGTAAAGTGGGTCTCACCTCAAATCGTGCCAATAAGGCACCATCGCTGGTTACCTCCAGTTGGGCTCTTAATGCCCTCAAATTAGTTATCAATGCCCCAGACGAGCTCTTCCGGCTCAAAGCATCTGCCACCACGTTTGCCTTGCCTGGGTGATACTCTATCACCAGATGGTAGTCTTTTATCAGCTCCATCCACCGTCTCTGTCTCATGTTTAGCTCTTTCTGAGTAAACACGTACTTCAAGCTCTTGTGATCAGTGTATATGTGACATGTCTCCCCGTAGAGATAATGTCTCCATATCTTCAGTGCAAATACCACTGCCCCGAGCTCCAAATCATGAGTAGGATAATTCACCTCATGCTTCTTCAATTGTCGTGAAGCATAGGCGATTACCCTCCCATTCTGCGTCAGTACACATCCGAGCCCTTGGATGCTCGCATCGCTATAGACATCGTACCCCACACCTTGTTTGGGTAATGCAAGTACCGGTGCCTCAGTCAATCTCTTCTTTAGTTCCATGAACCCTTTCTCACATTTGTCATCCCATACAAACTTAGCTCCTTTACGAGTGAGCTTCGTCAATGGCGATGCCAAAACAGAGAACTTTTCCACGAACTTTCTATAGTAGCCTGCCAATCCAAGGAAACTACGAATTTCCTTGACGTTCTTTGGCCTCTCCCATTCAGTGATGGCTTCTATCTTCTTGTTATCAACAGCAATCCCCGATCCCGAAACCACGTGCCCGAGGAAGCCAATCTCCTTTAGCCAAAATTCACATTTAGAAAATTTGGCATAGAGTTGCTTCTCCCGTAGTGTTTCAAGAACAAGTATCAAGTGCTCCTCATGCTCTTCTTCACTCTTTGAGTAAATCAAGATGTCATCTATGAACACAATCACGAATCGATCCAAGTATTTATGAAATACTCGGTTCATCAAGTCCATGAATGCCGCCGGGGCGTTTGTTAACCCAAACGACATAACAAGGAACTCAAAATGCCCATACCTTGTGCGGAAAGCACTCTTTGGTATGTCATCTTCCTTAATCTTCAATTGATGGTACCCCGACCTTAAGTCAATCTTCGAAAACACGGTTGCTCCTCGTAGTTGATCAAACAAGTCATCAATCCTAGGCAACGGATACCTATTCTTGATTGTGACCTTGTTCAGTTGACGATAGTCAATGCACATTCGAAGTGTCCCATCTTTCTTTTTCACAAAAAGAACCGGTGCTCCCCACGGGGAGTGGCTTGGTCTAATGAAACCGTTATCCAAAAGCTCTTGCAATTGGGTTTTCAACTCGTTAAGTTCAGCGGGTGCCATCCGGTATGGCGGTATGGAGATTGGTTTGGTACCAGGCTCGACCTCGATCACAAATTCAATCTCCCTGTCAGGTGGAAGCCCCGGTAGGTCTTTAGGGAAGACATCCGGATACTTACAAACCACCCTCACATCATCGATGTTCGTTCCCTCTTTGGTTTTGTCAACCACGTATGCTAGATATGCGTGGCATCCCTTCCTCATCATATTTCTCGCTCTCACGGCGGATATGATACAACTATTTGATTTGCCGCGGTCCCCCTCGAAGCGTAGGGTGTCCCCATGTGTGCCTTCGAGTTCCAACACCTTTGTGTAGCAATCTACCCTAGCATGATGCTTTTCTAGCCAATCCATCCCTAGGATTGCATCGAACTCCATCATACTCAGCGGTACGAAATCACACGTCAAGGTTTGGCCACCGATTTCCACCATACAAGATGGATAGTAATTGTTTCTTTCAACGTCTTCCCCTAGTGGGGTTGATACCACTAAGGTTTGTGTCATTGGTATTGATTGCATCTCTAAGCTCTCGGCAAACGCCTCACTCACGAATGAACGTTGCGCTCCGGTATCGATAAGGATTCGTGCATCCTTCCCGTTAATCTTTAGTGTCCCTACATTCATGAACCATGTAAGACATCTTTCCTATCCTCCCTACTCATTTATAGAAGGTTGCAATGTTCACACGCACGTTAGAGATCAAGAAGAGGCCTTAACGTCGCAAAACGGTGCGAAAAAAATCAGGTTTCGGCAATCTGGGTGCCAGGCACGGCGTGCCTGGGGTAGGCACGGTCGTGCCTGGCTTGGGAAAAAGCCCTGGGCGCTACTGCCTCCCAGGCACGACGCCAGGCACGGCGTGCCTGCGGCCGTGCCTGGCCCCAAAAAAAAATTTTTTTTTTTTTTTTTTTCTTTCCTTCGGGTGCCACTGCCTTCCAGGCACGATTCCAGGCACGGCGTGCCTTCGGGCGTGCCTGGCCAGCAGTGGCTGTTTCCAGCCCGATTCGGCCTAACTCACCCAGTTTGACCCCGGGGTGGCCCGTACTCAATCCCAACGACGTATATGATCAAAATAAGCCTAGAAATGACCCGAATAAGTGTATTACCTGCGACGGAGTCGGGATTAGCCCGAGCATCAGCCTCGGTCATTGCGTAGACTCTAGCTTGCGTCCTTCCTTGATTCACGGACGGCGCGTTACTCGCGCTTGCTCCCCCTTGTCCTCTGCTTGCTTGAGAGGCCCCGGTCTGACTCCGTGTACCCGTCGGGCCACTGCTTGGTCCCGATGTCCTTGCCCCGCCCAGTTGTGGACAATGTGCCTTCAAATGCCCGGCATCCCCACATTGAAAGCATCTAGGGGGGTCGCGACATTTACCGGAGTGGTTCTTCTTGCAATTGTTGCAACGAGTTACCACCGAGGTTTGTGACCTCGAGCCTTGCCCACTCGGGCCTTGGTTCCCCCTAGACGGTGGCGGTGGTGCCCGGAAAGATCCTCCTCCATGGTTCCCCTTTTTGTTGGAACCTTGGGAGCCATGACTCTCCCATTTTCTCTTTTTCGCCTCCTCGGCGTCTCTCTTCTTCCGTTCCTCCCACTGTTTCTCCCCTTTCAATGCTTGTTCAACCACTTGGGCGAAAGTCATATTAGGCAATTGCGTTGCCCTATCACGTATCTCCAAGTCAAGAGCGTCCCAAAAGTGGTTCACCATGCGGTTCTCGTCACAAGCATACTCCGGTATGTAGTCGGCGAGATCCCGGAACTTGTACTCAAGCTCCTTCACTGACATGTTACCCCCTTGGGTTAGGAGGGTGTATTCCCTCACCTTCTTATTCACCTCGAAATCAGAATAGTATTGGGCAAAGAACTCCCGTTGGAAGTCCTCCCAAACGACGGTCTCACCGTACTTGTTCTTGGTTCCATCCCACCACTTGGATGCCATCCCCTCGAGCAATCTTACCGCAATTCTCAGTTTGAGATTCGGCGCGATTTGCATGTCAAGGGCCGCTTCATTTAGCCTCTTGATCCATTGTGCTGCCACTGAAATGTCCCCTGCTCCATCAAAGGGTTTGCACCCCAAATCTCTTGCTTCTTTGATGTATTTGGAGATCCTTATGGTTGGACCTCCATCATTTTGGCCCCCACGTGGTTCCACATGGACTCTAGATGCACCATGACTTCCTCCTCGTGAAGCCATGCCCGAAGGTTGCCCAGCCCGGCGCCTTCGGCGTTCCCTCCTCTCTTCACGCTCACGGTGATATTGTTGGAGTAGTGCCTCAATCCGCGCTAAGGAGCCGTTGTCCTCCTCATCACTTACATCATCATCATCCCCTTCATAAGGGGTTTCAACCGGCTCTGTTTCCGGCCGATAGGTCGAGTCCTCATAGGACCAGTAGCTGTCACTTTCGGTGCTCACATGACCGTCACTCACGGTCCGTGATTGGCCTCCACGGCCCGCTCCTCTAGATGCCCTAGAGGTCCTACGACTGCCTTGCCCAGTCTCCTCGGGTGCACGGCCCAAAGGGTTCCTCCTAGTTACCTTGCCACCACGGTCCATTTCTGAAAGAAATTTGGAAAGAGTCGTTAGACTCGTATCAAATGTCAATTGACGGATATGTACTTAAGACACATTTTGGCTCGAGTCACCGCCATACCAATTGCTAAGGGTACCATCTTAACAATTAGAGACCTTGCAACCCAAGTACCAAAAGCTCTCCAAGTACAAAACTCCTATGCTCATGGTTTTCAAAATCTTTTCAAAAAGAGAATTTTGAGACTTCATTATGAAGTTTATGGACTAAGTCTCTGATACCAACTTAATTGTCACGCCCCGGACCTCCCCGGACACGTCAACAACCCGCCGTACGATACGAATAGTCAACCGCAGTCCAACACATTCATATTATACAAGGCGTCATGAATATCATTCACACATAAGTCATCCATAAACATACATAATAAACAATTGAATACGCAGCGGAAAACATTGTTTAAAACAAAAGGGCCACACAGGGCAAACATGAGCACGCAGGCTCTAAAGTAAAATATCCATGAGCAAGTTTAATATTATTTTAAAAACAGAATGGAGGAAGCACGAACCAAGTCTTCTCTCCAAGGAATCACTCGATCAACGAGCACAGGAAACAAGCTCTAGCCTCAACCTGAAATGGTGGTGGGACGCCCCCGAAGGGGTCAGTACTCTATACGGCTATAAAGTACTGGTGTGGCAGGCATCTAATAGATATACAACAAGTATTTCAAACACAAGACCCTCAAGTAGGGTGATAGTACATTATGATTGTAACCCTAAGTTACCCCGTTTAAAAATATACTTACTTTATATAAAAGTCAAGTAGTCGGCCCGTGGGCCCGTTTTCATTTGGAAATCACCATTCCCAACCCCGTGGCTATAAGCCACGACAACTCCTAGAGTCCAACCCTAGTACATGACATTGTATTCTAGAGCTCGGCTCTACCACATCACCATACAATTCATATACCTCGGGTCAATTTCCTTACCTTGCGTTCTAGAGCTCGGCTCTACCACATCACCACGCAAGTCCTAGAGCTCGGCTCTAGCTATACAATACATAGACTCCAAGTCTACCCTTACATGCATTCTAGAGCTCGGCTCTATCACATCACCATGCATTAAGGTCCAATTCTCAAGCAATCCCTATGCCTAGAATTGACATATCATTAAACTACCATGGGTCATCCTTAAGGACTTCCCATAACTTAACCTTAGTTCCATACTAAGTTATTATATACACTTGAACTATATTCAAGCACCTTTCATACAATCCAATCCCTAGGATCAATTTAATCAACAAGTCCCAATAATCACTAACTAGTATTTCAATACTATTAAGATTATTGTTATCATACCATTATCCTCATTATTTGTAATTCTCTACATATTTATAATTATGTAGCAGCAACTTAAGTATTTAATCTCAATACACAAATATTCATTTATGTATCCACATAATTCATACATGAGTAAAATACCCATTTTCACAAAATGGTTCTTTTATACTCATTTAATCTCATATTATTCATACCTTCTCAAATCATTTCAAATTTCATTCTTTGGCAACTATATCAATATTTCATCAATATATAATCATCATAATCCATGAAAAATCATGATTTAAGCATTTAGGTAATCTCATGCTTAACCTACAAGTTGTAAGCAATTAGATGTCAATCCTCACCTCAATTGAGCTTTAAACTTTCCCTTCTTGGTCCAATGGTCAAATCTTTGGTCAAGGTGGATTTGGGACTGATTCCTTGCTCAAATATGAGTGTTAAACAGCCTCCTCAAAGTGCTAGTTCAACCCTTAATCGTTGATATGAAAACAGCCCCTAGAACGGGTGTTTTCCGGCTAACTCGATTCCTAGTTTTCCAATATTTGCATCTAGGTTAGTATCTAACCTTTACATCAATAAGATAACTTTTTAGGGACATATTATACACTTGGATTAGTGTATAATAGTCTCACCAATCGTTCATATCATTTGGAGAATGAAAAGTAAAGCTTTGGGGTTAAAACTCACTTTAGAAGATTAAATCCTCTCCTGCGAGGTTGTGTTTTGCTCGGACGATTTGGAAGCCTTCCACAACTCCGATTCCTGCAAACCAGACCTTCACGGATTCCTCGTCTTGAGAGCTTTCTGTGGGTATCTCACACGCCTTAATTGGACTTGTAAAACTCGAGATATCGACCAAACAGTCTCAGCACTCTCACAGCTCGAGTTCACAGACCTTTGCTCGTTCCAGCTCGATTTTTGCAAGATAATCCTTCTCTCCTCGAACAAAGACCACTCAATTGAGATAATAGACTTCAAAGGCTATCCAAGGACACCTCATACACGTTATTTGGTTGAGGATAGCTCCTATAATGAGAGGAGACAAACAGCACACCAATTTGTGCGAAAATAAGAGTGGTGGCCCCAAACTTTGATTCTTATCAAGTCATGTGCAGCTCTTCTCCATAATGGCCGGCCAAGGTAAGTCTCCTAACCCATTTTTATTTGTTTTGCAGGTACTAATACCATGTGGAGTGGTTCCCAATTGATCCCATTAAATTTGGGGTCCAAAATATCTACCAATACTTCCAAAAATGGGAAGATGGGTCCTATTGTTTTATCTTTGTCAAAGATGTCTTTTTGTACTCATCCTAATTTATTTAGAACAAGTCAACTTCCTAAATCACATTATTGATCTCCAATATGTGTAGGCTCATCCCAATAATTTACACGATGAAAATTACCAAAGAATGCGGGTTTGAACAATACAATATTCAATCATGTACTTCGTAAAATATTAATCGTTTCTCCCATTGTTTTGCAATTGGAAATTCGATACATCACTTTTGAATTTTAAATCGAATTTTCAAGGACGTTCGGGTGCGGTGTCACAAAAGGACAATTCAAAGCTAAGCTGGGACTGGCACAAGAAGCTTAGTCACTTGAATTTCAAAACCATCAACAAACTGGCAAGAGAACACATTGTAGATGGTCTGCCTGACATTGTGTACAAAAAGGAGACTCTCTGCAGTGCTTGTCAGAAAGGCAAGCAAGTGAAGACCTCATTCAAACCCATAGCTGGAGATCTTTCCACTTGTCCTCTAAATCTGATTCACATGGATTTATTTGGACCAGTTGAAACTCCCAGTGTTGGTGGAAAAAGATATACTCTTGTTATGGTTGATGACTACTCAAGATACACATGGACTGTGTTCCTAACAAAGAAAAATGAAACTCTTCAGAAGTTGCCATCTCTGTTAAAGCAACTTCAGACTGAGAAGAATATGAAGGTCAGGACAATCAGATCTGACAGAGGAACTGAATTTGTCAACAAAGTGATCAAGGACTTCTGTGATCAGAATGGCACATTCCATCAACTCTCTGCTGCCAGAACACCCCAACAAAATGGTGTTGCAGAAAGAAGGAACAGAACATTGAAAGAAGCCGCAAGGACCATGATTGCTGAATCAGGACTGCCCATCAGATACTGGGCTGAAGCAATCAACACTGCATGCTACACTCAGAATAGAAGCATGATCCACAAGAACCATCAGAAGACACCCTATGAGCTGTGGAAAGGAAGAAAGCCAAACATCAGCTACTTCCATGTGTTTGGATGCAAGTGCTATATTCTAAACAATGGAAAGGAGAATCTGAAAGTATTTCAAGAAAAAGCTGATGAAGGTGTATTCTTAGGCTATTCAAGCTCAAGCAAAGCCTATAGAGTACTCAACAGGAGAACTATACAAGTTGAAGAATCCATTCATGTCAAGTTTGATGACAGCACCTCTGCTGAAGAAATATCAGAAACCCTGCAGAAGATCAATCTTGATGACAAAAGTTCAGAACCATCCGAAGAGGTCACCATCAATCCTGTTTTATCAATCCCTCCTGCTAATCCAATTCTGATAGACAAAGATGAAGATGAAGAATCAGAAGATGAACCATCAGAGTTGCCTAGACAGCAACTATCAGAACCTGATCTAACTTGGTTAAGAGACCATCCTCCTAATCAAGTGATTGGTCAAGTTACCAGTGGAGTAAGGACCAGATCTGCATCAAGAAGAGAAGCCATGTTCACTTGCTGTATTTCCCAGATGGAACCAATGTGTGTGGAAGAAGCTCTAGAAGATTCAGACTGGATCAATGCAATGCAAGAAGAGCTGACACAGTTTGAAAGGAATGAAGTATGGAAACTTGTTCCTCGACCAAAGCATCAGAATGTCATTGGAACCAAGTGGGTATTCAAGAACAAAGCAGATGAAGAAGGCAACATTGTAAGGAATAAAGCAAGGCTTGTAGCAAAGGGATACTGTCAAGAAGAAGGCATAGATTTTGATGAGACCTTTGCACCTGTTGCAAGACTAGAAGCAATCAGGATATTTCTAGCCTATGCTGCCTACAAGGACATCAAAGTCTACCAGATGGATGTCAAGAGTGCATTTCTGAATGGAGAACTTGAAGAGGAAGTTTATGTTGAACAACCTCCAGGTTTTGTCATTCCTACTCAATCTTCTTGTGTCTATAAGCTGAGAAAGGCTTTTTATGGTCTTAAGCAAGCTCCCAGAGCTTGGTATGACACATTGTCCCTATTCTTAGTGAACCATGGGTTTACTAAAGGAAAGGTTGACAAGACTCTATTTCAAATTTCTGTTGCTAATCATATTCTATTAGTGCAAATCTATGTTGATGATATTATATTTGGAAGCACTAATCCAGAATTATGCAAGAAGTTCTCTAAAGTTATGCAGAAGAAATTTGAAATGAGTATGATGGGAGAACTCAGTTACTTTCTTGGATTACAAGTCAAACAAGTACCAGAAGGCATCTTTATCAACCAAGGGAAGTACACCAGAGATCTCATCAAGAAGTTTGGAATTGATGGAAAAACTTCAGTCAAAATTCCTATGAATGCATCTCAAGGAATTGGACCAGATGATGAAGGAAAGGATGTTGATGCAACAACTTATAGAGGAATCATTGGATCTCTCCTCTATCTGACTGCAAGCAGACCAGACATAGCTTTTGCAGTGGGAATCTGTGCCAGATACCAATCAAAGCCCAAGGAGAGCCATCTAGTTGCTGCTAAGAAGATTATCAGATATATCAAGGGAAATCCAAATGCAGGCCTATGGTATCCTAAGGGAGGTAATTTTGAACTAATTGGTTATTCTGATTCAGATTTTGCAGGTTGTAGATTGGACAGGAAGAGCACTTCCGGTCACTGTCAATTGCTAGGTGGGAGACTTGTCTCCTGGTTTAGCAAGAAGCAGAATTCAATCTCAACAAGTACAGCTGAAGCTGAGTATATTGCTGCTGGAAGTTGCTGTGCTCAATTGCTCTGGATGAAGCAACAACTCAAGGATTATGGAGTACAAGCAAAGGAGATCAAGCTGCTGTGTGACAATACAAGTGCTATTGCCATCACTCAGAATCCTGTGCTGCATTCAAGGACCAAACACATTGAGATCAGACATCACTTCATCAGAGATCATGTGGAGAAGAAGCACATCTCAATTGAGCATGTTCCAACTGAAGATCAGCTTGCGGATATCCTAACCAAACCTCTTTCAGAGGCTAGGTTTAATACGTTGAGAGAAGAATTGGGAATGATGGATGATCTTCCCAGAGATTCATGAATCAGAGTTACAGAAGTATCAGATGTGGATTCATCAGAACACCCCATCTCTGATACCTGAGCTTTTATCCGTCAGAAGCTTGAATCAGAGTTGCAGAAGCATCAGACGTGGATCAATCAGAACTCTCCACCTCTGATACGCTTATCCATCAGAGAACCCTATGTCAGAATACCCCCTCTCTGATATATGGAATGTTATTCATCAGAGTGGCTGTGGACTTAGAAAATTCTCTGAATTTCGGGCGAGACTGTTCAATAAACCGGAAGCTACCATTTTACCCCCGGTAGTTATTACCATATTTGGAAAACGGCTTTCCGCCCACAATCCATTTAATGCAACCTCGAAACCGCAAATTATATCAAACGTCCACTAACCCAAATTCATATATACCCCTTCTGAAAACCTAAGTCGCTACTGCAATTTTATTCTTCGTCCTCAAGCTTTATCTCTCTAAACTTTAAACTTTCAGACCTCTCAACCTCTTCACTAAACTGAAAATGAAGTTCATCAACATCAACGATCTTTCCAAGGAAGAAGTCAAGGCTCTTGTGAACAATATTGTTACAGGCATGCGAGTTGACATGTCCGCATTGCCCCTGTTGGCAGAAAATCAGAAGCGGATGAAGAAAATCATCCAGGGAATGCACGATTCCCAACTAAGCAAGATCGTTGCTCATCCATATGAAGAATTCAGCACCATGGATGTAGCCGAGTTCTATCTGAACGCCACTATCACCGGAGAAGCCATTCACTCTCAAGTTCAAGGCAAGGACTTGAAGATTGACGCCGATGCTCTAAACGAGTTCTTTGGTGTTCAACTCGATTCTCAAGATCAGGATACTCCAACCCTGATTGATCTAGACACAGTGAACATTGCTGTAGAGACCTTCGTCGACATCTATTGCAGGCCTGAGGTCACAGGGATTGAAAAACTATATATGAAGAAGTTCCTATTAAAGAAGGACTATGAAAAGCTGGTCAGCATCCTGCACAGGTGCCTTTGGTGCAAGACCGGATCCACAGATGAGATGAACAATGCAAACGCCAAGGCGATTTATGCAGTTCATCGGGGAATGAACATTGACTGGGGAAAGGTAATCTTCAAATCTATCTCTGAATCAGTGAAGAAGAAGGACAAGAAGATTGGCTTATTCTCAACCAAGATGGGCCATGGTCTTCTCCTCTCCCAAACGATCAAAGCTCAAGGACTGGAACTCAGAAATCCCTCCAAAGTTGACCACTCCAAACTCGTCTTTCTCACTGCTTCTCCAAAGCTAAATATTGCTGTTGCTGCTGAACTAAAGAGAGAGCAACGACTAGAGGAGAAAAGAGAACAACTGGCTGCTAAGCCCAAAGTTGTCTCCAAGAAGAAGCCTCTGCAGAAGCTCAAAGCAACTACTGAGAAGGATGCATCAGAGGAGGATGCATCAGAAGAAGATGCACTAGTTGTGGCACCTATCAAAAAGCTCAAACAGAAGAGGAGAAGAAAAGCAATCATTCAGAGTGATTCTGATAGCTCCAAATCTCCTAACAGAGTGGCAAAGAAGAAGAAGAAGGTTCTCTCATCCCCTAAAGGATCAGCACCTCAGGGGGAACCAGCACCAGAGTTGGCTGCTGCACTGGTGATCTCTGATGCTCAGGGGGAACCTGAGTCAGCGGTCCAACCTCTCT